ATGGGAAGGAAGAAGGACAACAAACTTGCTCAGACTGACTGACAGCTAGAGTTTTGCCTTTAAACCACTACTGACCTTGGTTGGCCCTTGATCACTGATCTTTAAGATGTTGATAGAAAGCCTAGAAACCTAGCTGGGTATGGTAGTGCATGTCTGTAGTTCTAGCTGCTTGGAAGGCTGAGGTGGAAGGATCGCCCGAGCCCAGTAAGTCGAGGCTGCAGTGGCCAGGAGCAGCCACTGCACTCCAGCCTGGGCGACAGAGTGAGACTCCAACTCAAAAGAAAAAGAAGAAGAAGAAGACCTAGAAACTGAAGAAATTGAGACTAGACATTCTCTTGTGATTCCTGGCAGAACTGTCTACTTCATAATTTCCATAATATGTTCTTCATAAAAAACAAAATGCCAGCATCTCAAAAAATGGTCTTTTGGGTTTGTGTGAAATTTCTCGCTGCAGTTCACACAGCTAAACCCCATAGCTCCCTAATTTAAAGTCATCAATTGTCAAAGTGTACACATTCCTTTTTCCTTACGTGTTTCTTTTGCTTCTGCAGGTTTTGTGCTGTTTCTCTTTTTGGGAATCTTGACCATGCTCAGACCAAATATGTACTTCATGGCCCCTCTCCAGGAGAAGGTGGTTTTTGGGATGTTCTTTTTGGGTGCAGTGCTCTGCCTCAGCTTCTCCTGGCTCTTCCACACCGTCTATTGTCATTCAGAGAAAGTCTCTCGGACTTTTTCCAAGTGAGTTAAAAGAACAGCACTAGCAAAAGACCATGCGCTATTGTCCCATCTTGTGACCTCAGAGCTGACTGGGTGCTGGGAACTCCTAGAAGTCCTAAGGATTCCTTGATATGCCAGAGGATGGACTTTCTGTTCTGTGGGTATAATAGGGCAATGAAGCTTCTCTCTGAAAACACTTTATGAAAAACTTACTGCCAGGCATGGTGGCTCATGCCTGTAATCCCAGCACTTTGGGAAGCCAAGGTGAGAAGATTGTGCCCATGGGTTCAAGACCAGCCTGGGCAACTTGGTGAGACCTCGTGTCTACAATAAATTTTTTTTTTAATTTGCTGGGTGTGGTGGTGCATGTCTATAGTTCCAGCTACTTGGAAGGCTGAGGCAGAAGGTTCACCTGAGCCCAGCAGGTCAAGGCTGTGGTGGCCGTGAGCATGCCACTGTACTCCAGCCTGGGCAACAGAGTGAGACTCAGACTCAAAAAAAAAGAAAAAAGAAAAACTTACTGCAGCCTCCTCAACAGATGGAAACCAGTCATGGAATATATTTACCACGTGAGCGGTACTATCTTTTGTGAAACTTGGGGTGCCAGTGGGCTTCCAAGACCTTGTACCCAATCCTAGCTTGCCTTCCTATTGGCCTAAGCCATAGTAGGGTGTGGTAAATAGTCTGTGTGTTGCTCTGCTAGTGCTCCTACTCACCAGCCAAGTAAAGCTTATCTTTGCTGCCCATGCACTGCTGGAAACGCCAGATGTCCATCCTCTTATGATTTCCCTCTAACCCCAACTCTGACCCTGGGGTTCTATTTGTTTGTTTGCTTGTTTTGGTGGTGGTTTTGTTGATTTTGGTGGTAATGGTGGTGGTGTATTATTTTGGTTTTTCTAATAATACCAATAACAAGGATACATTTTCATCATTTAAAAAGTCAATTAAGAGAGAACAAGCTTAGTCAGGCATGGTGGCACATGCCTATAGTTCCAGCTACTTGGAAGGCTGTGACGGAAGGATCACCTGAGCCCAGCAAGTCAAAGCTGTGGTGGTTGTGAGCATACCACTGCACTACAGCCTGGGCGACAGAGTGAGACTACAACTCAAAAAAAGCCAAACACAAAAAAAGAGAACAACCTAAATAAAGTATTCCCTTAATAATACTTCCAGCTGGGCGTGGTGGCTCATGCCTGTAATCTCAGTACTTTGGAAGACAGAGGCGAGAGGATTGCCTGAGTTCAGGGGTTTGAGATCAGACTGGGCAACTTGGCGAGACTTTGTCTCTACAAGAAATCAAAAAAATTAGCTGGGCATGGTGGTACACACCTGTGGTTCCAGCTGCTTGGAAGGCTGAAGCAGAAGGATCGCCAGAGCCCAGCAGGTCAAGGCTATGGAGTGTGCCACTGCACTCCAGCCTGGGCAACAGAGTGAAACTCTGACTCAAAGAAGGGAGGGAGGGAGGGAAGGAAATACTCCCAGTCTAAGGATTTTGTTTTTATTTATTTATTTATTTTGAGTTGGAGTCTCACTCTGTTGCCCAGACTGGAGTGCAGTGGCCGCTCCCGGCCACCGCAGCCTCAACCAGTTGGGCTCCAGCGATCCTTCCACCTCAGCCATCCAAGTAGCTGGAACTACAGGCACACGCTACCATACCCAGCTAATTTTTTGATTTATTGTAGAGATAAGGTCTTGCCAAGTTGCCCTGGCAGGTCTCGAACCCGCAGGCTCAGGCAATCCACTCACCTCAGCCTCCCAAAGCGCGGGATTACAGGCTGAGCCACCAAGCCTGGCAGGATTTTGTTTTTAGAACTCATCTTATCAGAATGCGGGAATACTTACTCAGAGCTCAAGTATCTGCTGGGGAGATATGGCTGTTCATCACTAAGGGAAAGGGATGGAGTTCTTTGAGCAGTGATTCTTAGACTTTTCCATTGTAAAATAGAAGCACTTGACCTTGTGGAATTTTAATCCAGAATACAGGATGGATTGTATGGGAAGTGAGGGGAAACTAGGGACAGTTAAATCTGAGAGGAAGTAGTAGTTCCATGAGCCATATGGATTCATTTTGCCCACTGATTTGTTTCATTTTGTGGCCCTTTTAGACTGGACTATTCAGGGATTGCTCTACTGATTATGGGGAGCTTTGTCCCCTGGCTCTATTACTCCTTCTACTGCTCCCCACAGCCACGGCTCATCTACCTCTCCATCGTCTGTATCCTGGGCATTTCGGCCATCATTGTGGCACAGTGGGACCGGTTTGCCACTCCTAAGCACCGACAGACAAGAGCAGGTGGGTAGGAAGACATATTAAACCTCAGAGGTATTTGAACTTTGGGTCTGATAGGCTTAACCCTGGGCCCTAAGGTTTGCAGTTTGGGAACCCCACCCAAACCCTGATTTTTGTTTAGTGCTTTCAAAGCAGCATGAATTTTCAAAACTCAATTACCCCCAAGTATAGTGCTATTTCAGAAGAATGCTAATGGGGACAAATTGTTACCCACACGGTCAATTAATTGCCAGCAGTTATTTTAGTGACCTGAGTCCTAAGCACTCAGACCAAAGGATGAAAATTAAAACACCCAAAGGCATTTTACTAAAGAAATGGAATGCTTGGTTTGGTGAATAATATACTCTGAGCATAAACACTAGTAACAACGAGTGTAATAGCTACATGCATAAACATCTTTGTGTCATCTTTCTGGACTCTATTTCAAGCTTTTATTACTTGCAGCAACGCCACTAATTACAACTAGTCTTCAGCCCCTTTAAACGTCTTCATATCTGCTGTTTTAAGCTTCAGTTAAAAGTATTAAACGTTTATCAAGCACCAACCATGTGCCATGCTGCATTGTGCTTCAACAAGGGTATCCACAAAGATGGAAAAGGTAGTCTCTGCCCTTCTGTTTTTATAGTATGGTGGTGTTGAGACAAGTACCTGTCCTTGTCTTGCTCCTGCCTTATTTGTTGTGTCCCAGCACCTACAGGACAACCACTAATCTGAATATATCTGTCTACTCAGGAGGTCAGAGTCCTGGTTACATGTGTCTCTTATGATTTTAATGGGAAACCTACCCTGCTCTCCTCTGACCTGGGAGTCAACTGAAACTTGCCATCTGGGTTCTGTGCCTAAGTTAGCTGTCAGAAGGTGCTGACATATCTTTTTGCTTAGACTTCTTAACATGATGAAAACTGTGAGATGCTTGTTCTTGGTGCTCCTTAAAAGGTAATAAAACACTTGCATAGCCTTCTTCCCATTCTGGCTGTAGAAGAAATATCTGCTGACTGATGTCCATCTTGTAGCCAAATTTTCCAAACATATACTGCTCATAAAAAAATAGCTAATTATCTTATATATTTGGATTCCAGAGTAAGACAATAGCGCCTTCCATGTAGAGCTGTTTCCTAGCGTGACGATCTTAAGTCTTTTGCTCTGCTCTGTTCAGGAGTGTTCCTGGGACTTGGCTTGAGTGGTGTTGTGCCCACCATGCACTTTACTATCGCTGAGGGCTTTGTCAAGGCTGCCACAGTGGGCCAGATGGGCTGGTTCTTCCTCATGGCTGTGATGTACATCACCGGAGCTGGCCTTTATGCTGCTCGAATTCCTGAGCGCTTCTTTCCTGGGAAATTTGACATATGGGTAAGAAATGAAGCTTCTGGCAGAGACTGTGATGGTGAGTGACCATCCCAAGGTTAAGGTCTGAGGTGGTAAGGGACTTGGCTCATGTAGTGTTTGGGGATATATATATATATATATGGAAATTGCCAATATTAACATTTTGGTGTAACTCTGACAAGGACTGTGTTTCTGAAATTTTCTATAACAAATATATGACTTTTATGATATAAAAAGGTAGTCTAAGGATAAACTAAAAGTGGCAAATGCTTTCTCTTATTTCTGATTCCTCCTTGCCATTATCTTAAAGACTCTTCTCTTTTTATTCCTACAGTTCCAGTCTCATCAGATTTTCCACGTCCTGGTGGTGGCAGCAGCCTTTGTTCACTTCTATGGGGTCTCCAACCTTCAGGAATTCCGATATGGTCTAGAAGGTGGCTGTACTGATGACTCCCTTCTCTGAGCCTTCCCAGCCTGAGGGGTGGAGGAGGAACTTCCCAAGTGCTTTTAAAAATAACTTCTTTGCTGAAGTGAGAGGAAGAGTCTGAGTTGTCTGTTTCTAGAAGAAACCTCTTAGAGAATTCAGCACCAACCAAGCATCAGCCCAATTTCACACCCACTGGGCAATAAACTTTCCATTTCTATTCCCCTAGCTGGGAAGAGGGTGATGGTCAAACTTAGCCATCCCCCTCCACAGCGGTCACCCTCCTCACAAGGCAACTACCAGCCCCTCACAGAGACGGTACTTTGAAACTCATGTTGAGATTTTACCCTCTCCTCTGACCATTTTGGGAAAAATTATGAACTGGGACTCTTCAGAAATTCTGTCTTTTTTCTGAAAGAAAATGTCCTTTAACCCCATCCTTACTTTGTATCCTGGCTTATAACAGGCCATCCATTTTTGTAGCACACTTTTCAAAAACAATTATATAACCTGGTCCTATCTTTCTAGGGCCTGGATCTGCTTACACAGCAGGAAGAATAAAACCACCAACTTTTACATAGCCCAGCTAATCATGGAAGTGTGTCCAGGCTTCAAATAACTTGAGTTTTAATTTTTTTTTCTTGTCAGAGTAATGTAAAATTAAAATGGGGAAAGATATTTAATATTTAATACTAAGCTTTAAAAATAAACCTGCTATCATTGCTATGTATCTTGATGCAAAGACTATGATGTTAATAAAAGAAAGTACAGAAGACACTTGGCATTCAAAGATTTAACATGTATGGTTTCGATTATTTGTACACAACTCCAAAGGATTAAGACCTGTACTAATTTTAGATTCTGCTAATAAGCTTTGACAGACTGGTATATGCAGGCCAAGAATGAACCTAATTGAGTCCTCAGCATCTGCTGCTCAATACAGCTTTATTTTTTTCTACTTATTGCACAGACCATCTTATTAGGGAAATCAGTATGCTATAGTAATGGTTAACAATTAGAAGATTTTCAGGCCAGGTGCAGTGACTCGTGCCTGTAATCCAGCACTCTGAGGCGGAGATGGGAGGATCACTTAAGCCCAGGTATTCAAGACCAGCCTGGGCAACAGAGTGAGACTTCATCTCTACAAAAGAGTCAAAACATTAGCCAGGTAATCAGGAAAGTGCACCTGTGGTCCCAGCTACTTGGGAAGTTGAGACAGGAGGATTGCCTGAGTTTAGGAGGTCAAGGCTGCGATGAGCTGTGTCATGCCAGTGAGAACCCCAGCTCCATAAATAAATAAATAAACAGATTCTCAAAGGTGTTAGGAGATATCCCAGAGTTGAGAGATCTGTCCCACCTCATCTAGGGTTGTCTCATCAAGGGGTCTTCCACACCTCTCTGAGCCTTTGTGATGTGTACTCAACCAGACGGGTTCTGCTCACTAGGTAGCACAGGCCAGCAGTAATCACTTTTCAGCAAATGTGGGCAATTAAAGGGGAGTCATCTTCAGTTATACAGTTGGGTTCATTTCAAGGGTCAAGTTTGTACAACTGGGAGAACAAATAATCCTTTTTTAAAAAGTAATCCACTGGCCGGGCATGGTGGCTCAAGCCTATAATCCCAGCACTTTGGGAGGCCGAGGTGAGAGGATCGCCTGAGCCCACGGATTCAAGACCAGCCTGGGCAACATGGTGAGACGTCTCTACAATAAATCAAAAAATTAGCTGGGCGTGGTAGCGCACGCCTATAGTTCCAGCTACTTGGAAGGCTAAGGCAGAAGGATTGCCTGAGCCCAGCAAGTCGAGGCTGCAGTGGCCGGAAGTGTGCCACTGCACTCCAGGCTGGGCAACAAAGTGAGACCCCAACTCAAAAGAAAAAAAAGTAATCCACCAACACCAGCAGGCTTGAAAAGCTTCTCAGCCTCAATAAGGGAAGTGAAAATTAAAACCTAAACGGTAAACTATCTCACTACATCTCACTTTAACTGATGCTGGGTGGGATGTGGCACAAAACTCATGGATTCGTTGACTCAACCCTAAAATGAATTTTAGAGTGACCAACAGAGTTTATTAGAGAAAGAAGAGGGGAAAGATACACATGCCAGAGTCAGGCAAGAGAAATGGTGCTTTTTGCTTTTGACAACAGGCCTGATACACCTTCACAATGATTAAAACACTAAGGAAGGTAGAACCTAGGTAACCATCACTCTAGAGAGATTGACATCTCTCTGCCTTTGATGGGAGGAATGGGTGGTCTTTTCCAGGGAGGCCAGACTTCTTTTTTTTTTCTTTTTTTGAGCTGGAGTCTGTCGCTCAGACTGGAGTGCAGTGGCACGCTCCCGGCTACTACAGCCTTGACCTGCTGGGCTCCGGCGATCCTTCCGCCTCAGCCTTCCAAGTAGCTGGAAGTATAGGTGCATGCTACCACACCCGGCTAATTTTTTATTTTATTATAGAGACGAGGTCTCGTCAAGTTGCACGGGTGGGACTCGATCCCACAGGTTCAGGCAATCCACTCGCCTCGGCCTCCCAAAGTGCTGGGATTACAGGCTGAGCCACCGAGCCTGGCGAGGCCAGACTTTTCAATACATAAGTTCATGAGCTCAAAGGGGTTTTTCTATCATTTCTATGGCTTTTTTGATTCCTGGTTCGGGAACCACCTTGATAGAGTTTTCCTTTGGTGAGCTGAGAGGGTGGGGTGGACTGGGAGTCCACACTGAACTCACATTCCAACTCACCAGGCTGTTCAGCCTACTGACAAGATGACGCTTTCTAAAACCTGCCTACAAGAAATTTATCTCTGCCTAACCTGTACTAACTACTCTGTCTCACAACCAGATTGGCACAAACTAAAAAGCCTAATATTAAGTGTCAGTGCGAATGTGGAGCAGACCAGATGGTGCTGTTGGAAGCGTACATGGGCAGGACCACTGTATGGATATGCATAGGGTATATACATGTTACAACACTCAAGCATTTCGTGAAACAGCACTTTATAGTATGAGATGCATCTGATATCTATCCTAAGTTTCCTCACTTAAAAAAAAAAGCTGGTTGACCCATTAAATTGTTCTCATTATTCAATAATGGGTCACAACTCACCCTTCAAAAAACACACTGCTCTTAATAAACTTGGCTTGTACCAAAAGGTTAAATGAAGCTGTATGTAGTAGCAAAATATTGCAAAGTCCAAAATTGCTGAATGGAGAAATAAATCTTGGTTTACTCATATAATGAAACACTATCAGGCCGGGCCTGGTGGCTCATGCCTGTAATCCCAGCATTTTGGGAGGGAGAGGCAAGAGGATTGGCTGAGTTCAGGGGTTCGAGACCAGCCTGGGCAACTTGGCAAGACCTCATCTCAACAATAAATCAAAAAATTAGCCAGGTATGGTGGCACATGCCGGTAGTTCCAGCTACTTGGAAGCCTGAGGTGGAAGGTTGGCCGTGAGCATGCCACTGTACTCCAGCCTGGGTGACAATGAGACTCAATTTTTAAAAAAAAACAACTTTAAAAAGGGAATGTTAGTTCAGAAAAACAGTTACCTCTGAAGGAGTAAGAACAGAATATTTAAAAGTAAAGTGTTTAGCCGGGTTCGGTGGCTCAGCCTGTAATCCCTCGCTTGGGGAGGCTGAGGTGAGTAGGTTGCCTAAGCCCATGGGTTCGAGACCCACCTGGGCAACTTGGCGAGACCTCATCTCTACAATAAGTCAAAAATTAGCTGGGCGTGGTAGCGTGCGCCTGTAGTTCCAGCTACTTCAGCTACTTGGAAGGCTGAGGCGGAAGGATCGCCGGAGCTCAGCAGGTCGAGGCTGTGGTGGCCAGGAGCGACCACTGCACTCCAGTCTGGGCGACAGAGTGAGACTCCAACTCAAAAAAAAAAAAGTAAAGTGTTCAATTTTTAATTATGTGGTGAGTACTTGGGTGTTCCTTGAACCTAGAACCTTTATTGCCTATATGTAATAGGTATTTTATATTTTTTCATCCAAAACCATAACCATTTAAAATTTTTAAAAATGCTCAAGGAACTGTTAGCAGAAGTCACAAACTCATGACCTGTAGGCTGAAAATGTCTATAAACATGTTTTGTTTGGCCTTGCACCGTGAGAACAATCAACTGCAGTTCAAAGGTAGCTATGCCCTCTACAGAGGACTTGTGCTCTCCTATTTATCATTGTTCCTACCTAGAGTGATTCACTCATTGCAGTCATCTCCTGAACCCTGGAGGCATCTGAGTTTGCAGCCACTAGTCTAGAAACTGGGAAGAAACCTAGGGTCATATCTGATCCAACCCCCCTTTTTTTTTTTTTTTTTTGATTTGGATTCTCACTCTGTCGCCCAGGTTGGAATGCAGTGGCATGCTCATGGCCACCCCAGCGTTGATGTGCCTGGGCTCCGACGATCCTTCTGCCCCAGCCTTCCAAGTAGCCAGAACTACAGGTGCATGCTACCATGCCCAGCTAATTTTTTTAAATTTATTTTAGAGATGAGGTCTCACCATATTGTCTAGGCTGGTCTCAAACCCGCAGGCTCAGGCAATCCTCTCGCCTCAGCCTCCCAAAATGCTGGGATTACAGGCTTGAGCCACTGTGCCCAGTCAACCCCATTTTTTAAATGAGATGAGATCCATAGCAACTGATTAAACCTAGAGTGTGTTTCTTCATTTTTCAGTACTTTTCAGGACCCTGCAAAGCGGATCTGAGAGAGAACATTTCTTGAGCACCTCTTGTATTTTTGGTATGTTATATCTTTTTTTTTTTTTTTTTGAGTTGTAATCTCACTCCGTTGCCCAGACTGGAGTGCAATGGCCGCTCCCGGTCACCACAGCCTCGACCTGCTGGGTTCCGGCGATCCTTCCGCCTCAGCCTTCCAAGTAGCTGGAACTACAGGCGCACACTACCACACCCGGCTAAATTTTTGATTTATTGTAGAGATGAGGTCTCACCAAGTTGCCCAGGCAGGTCTCAAACCCGCGGGCTCAGGCAATCCACTCACCTCAGCCTCCCAAAGCGCAGGATTACAGGCTGAGCCACTGAGCCCGGGTATCTTATATCTTTAACCATGTGGAGTAGGTAATAAGAGTAGGAAGAAGGGCCGGGCTTGGTGGCTCAGCCTGTAATCCCAGCACTTTGAGAGGCCGAGGCGAGAGGATTTCCTGAGCCTGCAGGTTCGAGACCCAACTGGGGAACTTGGTGAGACCTCTACTCTACAATAAATCAAAAAAACTAGCCGGGCGTGGTAGCACATGCCTGTAGTTCCAGCTACTTGGAAGGCTGAGGCGGAAGGATCGCCAGAGCTCAGCAGGTTGAGGCTGTGGTGGCTGGAAGCGTGCCACTGCACTCCAGTCTGGGCGACAGAGTGAGACTCCAACTCAAAAAAGAAAAAGAAAAAAAAAAGAGTAGAAAGAAAATAAGCTAGTCTCAACCAGGTATGTTGGCTCGTGCCTGTAATTCCATAACTTTGGGAGGCAGAAGCAAGAGGATTGCCTGAACCTGCATTTTCAAGACCAGCCAGGGCAACACGGTGAGATCTCATCTCTACAATAAATAAAAAAATTAGCTGGGTGTGGTGGTGCACACTTGTAGTTCCAGCTACTTGGAAGGCTGAGGTGGAAGGCTCATTGGAGCCCAGCAGGTCCAGGCTGTGATGACTGTGAGCATTCCACTGCACTCCAGTCTGGGCGAGAGTGAGACTTTAACTCAAAAAAAAGAAAAGGAAAAAAAAATAAGCTAGTCTCTCCCCTAATAGCTGATTTGCTGATAGGAAAGGAGTAGGATCAGATTCTTCGCTTTCATTCTTGGCCTTTCTTCAATCATAGTTCATCAGTGTTTTTGTTATTCACTTGTTCTATAGTGCCTCGCACATAACAGGTCTTCAACAAGTTTGAACACGCTAGATTTAATCACCTGCTGTGTATCAGCTTATTTACTCATCTAGGAAATAGATGGAGTGGATCAAGGGCGGCCCTTAGGTTTCCTTCTAGTTCTATACTAGTGGTTGCAAATTCAGATGCCTTCTAAAATTACAGGACTGGAGTCAGTGTCTGAATCCAGATCATTCTCACTTAAACCCAATGTTCTAATGTCTCAGCTCATTTAAAAACTCCTTTGCTCCCATTTTCAGCCTCTTCCCTTACTTTTATCAGAACTCCTAACTAGCTGCTGGTAACTATTATCTTCTTTCTTTAACTACATACTTCTGGTTCGTTCACTTCCTAAATACTTGAGGACCTGTTATGTACTAAACATTATAGAACAAACAAATGGTGACCAAACAAACACTGATGAGCTTCCATTTAAAAAAAGGCCAACAATAAAAGCTAAGAATCTAGTTGGGTACAGTGGCTCATGCCTGTAATCCCAGCACGTTAGGAGACCGAGGTAAGAGGATTGCCTGAGCCCAGGGGTTCAGCACCAGCCCAGGCAATTTGGTGAGATCTTATCTCTACAATAAATTTTAAAAATTAGCTGTGCATGGTGGCACGTGCCTGTGGTTCCAGCTACTTGGAAGGCCGAGGCAGAAGGATTGTCTGAACCCAGCAGGTCGAGGGTGTGGTGGCCATGAATGTGCCACTACACTCCAGCCTGGGCCAGATTGAGACTCCAACTCAAAAAAAAAAAAAAAAAAAAGTGAAGAATCTGATTCCACCACTTTCTTATCTATAAATCAAAAATTGGGGGTAACTTATCTCTATATGCCATCTACCTTCAATAAACAAAAAAACAGGACTTTGGGAACATTAGTAAAGTCAGATTATTACACATGAATAGAACTCAAAGAAACTTTTTTTTTTTTAGTTGAAGTCTCACTCTGTGGCCCAGGCTGAAGTGCAGAGACAAGCTCATGGCCACCGCAGACTCAACCGGCTGGGCTCAGGTGATCTTTCCACCTCAACCTTCCAGGTAGCTGGAACCATAGGCATGCGCCACCACGCCCAGCTAATTTTGTTATTTATTGTAGAGATGAGGTCTCACCATGTTACTCAGGTTAGTCTCATACACCTGAGCTCAGGCAATCCTCTCACCTTGGCTTCCCAAAGTGCTGGGATTATAGGAGTGAGCCACCGCATCCAGCAAGAAATTCTTGAGTGCCTTATTCATCTGATCCTCGAGAAAGCATTTGCTAAGACGAAATTAAATGTTATTAATTCTTGGATTTTATTAGGGGAAATGCTTGTATGTAAAGGAAAATAGGAAGGGCCCCAGAGAAGGTTGGGAGAACCATTAGACCTTGATGCAAGTCTGACCCACAAAGAGAGGACAAGAGAAGCATCCTAGGCTGCACTGCAATTGAAGGGAGGGTTCAGCAAAGTCCTTTGGGGAAGTCTTTGCTGTGCTGACAAGTCCCTTTATCTGCTGACAAGGGAGTCCCACTTCCCCCGGAAAGGGTCTGCATAACTCAGCAGTCCCCAGTCAGGGGCAGGAAGCAGAACTTGGAAGACGTGACCTCAGCCCAGGTACAAATTCAAGGAATGAATTTCTAAGCAGCAGCTGGGACCATGCTTAGTGAATGAGAGTGCATTCTCATGTCTGTCACACTCTGGCAGTGCAAAAATACAATGTATTTTGCCTAGCTTGTTTATGGATTCAACCTGCACTCTATGCACTTGATCTAGATTTCCAGGGAAAATTCCATTTTCCCTCAATTCACTAGCTATGAACACCCAGAATCACCTCAGATGTCCAAGCCATACAGGCAAGATGATGTACAGATCCTGACCGACTCACTCATCTTATCTGGATCCAGTCATCCTGAATAGACCTAAGAAACTCAGAATAAGTTTGGGAATAAGTATTGGGTCAGATATCTAAATGACTGGAAATATTCTTGTATGGGAATGGAGTTGTCCCATGACTTAAAGACCCAAATGGTCTAGAACTGTACACCTGAATGAAATGGAATCAGGAGAAGCCTAGAACTAATTTCTTTGGTGTGTTGAGTTTCTTGCTAACATCTCCAGTCTTGATCCTGTGAAAAAAAAGTGGCCATATTCTAAACAAAGCCTCTTTTATTAAGTTCCCTCTCATATTTGGAAAAATCCTTAATTTAGCATCCAGGAATTAGGCAATATTATTAAAGTACTATTTTATATCCAGAAAACAAGGAATTATTTTTACTCTTTATTTAAAACAAACATATATATGTTTGTTCAAAAAATATATATATTTGAGACAGGTTCTCACTATGCTGCCCAGGTCAGCCTCGAACTCCCACACTCAAATGACCCTGTGGCTTCAGCCTCCCAAGTAGCTGGGCTACTAGCATGCATGACATCATGGCCAGTTCCGAACATATTTTGAATTCACATGAAGGAAAATTCAAAAGGCACAAAAAGTCATATAGGGAAAAAAAAACCTCTTCCCCACAACCAACTAGTTCTTTTCCCTAAAGAAACCAATGTTACCACTTTATTTTGTATGCTTCTAAATACATTTTATATATACACAAACAAATGTAAATATTCTATCTTCCACGTTTTTACACAATAGTCTGTACACACTGGTCACAGCTGCACAGTACTTTATTGAATCAGTCCCCTACTAAAGGACATTTAATGTTGTTTTCAATCTAATCTATAGACAGTGCTGCAGTGGACAACCTTCTATGTTCATAATTTTACATGTGCAGGAGTATATGGTATTTTCTGGATATAGACTCTTTTTCCCCTATATCTGGCTTCTTTCTTCCTCTTTCCTCAGGGAGCAGACTTTGGTCTAGGCTGGTCTCTGAAGGATATGCATATTCCTAATGAGTCATGGGGTGCAGGTGATCCAGCAATGCTGCCAGCAATGAAGGTGTCACTCCTAATCAATGTAACTGTAAACATTGTATAACAATTTGAATTAACTTGCTTGATTATAAAACTGCTTGCTGTACTGTCCCAAGGTGCAGCTACTTCACCTACGGGTCATCGGTGCCTCTGGTAAGTTCTAATAAACCAGTGTCTTTCCCTGCTGGGCCTCTAGGTGACTTCTTTGGAATAGGTAAACGCGCACAAGCCCTCTCAGATTTGGGTTTACCGTATAACAAGGAGTATATGTGAAGGATAAACATTTTAAAATCGCTCAATTTAAGCCGGGTTCAGCTTTGGGAGGCTGAGGTGAGTGGATTGCCTGATCCTGCGGGTTCGAGACCCGCCTGGGCAACTTGGCGAGCCCTCATCTCTACAATAAAATCAAAAAA